GGATTTAGGGTTTAAGGTCTATGGTTTGGAATCTAGGGTTTAGATTTGATTTAGGGTGGGAGGTAGTAATCAAGTCTTGATCTTTGTGGTTTACGGATATGGGTTTGGGGGGTTTCGGGATTAGAGATTAGGGTCTAGGACTCGGTGTAGGGGTGAAGACTCAGCTGTCGTGGCATCTGACGATCACCCGACTACCCCTCTCTGAAGATGGGACATGGGGCCTAGTTCTTCTTTCGGATGGGAGATGGGGTGTTGTTGTTCTTACTGGTGACTAGTACAACATCCAGCCCTATCCAAGTCGGTCAGATAATGGCCGACCCTTTCCCTCCTTCCCTATTAATACACCACCAGTAAATTCATCCTGACCCCTATGCCCTGAACCCTAATCCCTAACCACTTAGCCGTGATCTCCTAAAACACTGCAACCCAAATCCTACACCCTAAGGCCTAAACCCTAAACCCCTAAACCCCTAAGCCCTAAACCCTTAAACCCCTAAGCTTCTGTCCTCTGCCTTGCCTCCGCAGGCACTACCAAGGCGGCTTTGGCTGCATCCGAAGCATCCGTTGCGCTGGGAGGCTGCGCCACAGTGAGTCGGACCTGCGTAAGGCATTCAGGGATTCGAAGGATTCGCGCCCCTGAACCCTTAACCCCTAGAACCTCCTAAACCCAAAACAAAACTAACATCTAACCCCCTTGAACCCCCTAACTAAAGCCCTAAATCCCTAACCGCCTAAAGCCCTGTATCCTAACCCCCTAACCACCGTTAACACCCTAACCCCAAAACCCTAAAGCCCAAAATCCCTAAACCTCCTGAACCCCTGAACCCCTAAACCCCTAAACCCCGGAAGCCTTGAAACCTTGAGCTCGCCTCCTCCATCTCTGGCTCAGGACGACCCAGGGGTCCTAGCCCTTCTGGCCTCGGCAGGTCCAGGGGTTCAGGGATTTTAGGGGTCTAGGGTCTTAGGGGTTCAGGGTTTTAGGGGTTTAGGGTCTGAAGAATTTAGGGTTCAGGGTTTGGGGGCTAAGGGGTTAAGAGTTTAGGGGCTTAGGGTTTAAGGGTTTAGGGGTTGGTGGGTTTAGGATTTAGGTGATTTAGGGTTGAGGGTTTAGTGGCTTAGGAGTTTCTAGGGTTTAGGGTTTGAAGAATTTAGGGTTTAGGGTATAGGGGTTTAAGGGTTTGGGGTTTAGGGGTTCAGGGGGTTTTAGGGTTTAGGAGTTTAGGAGTTGAGGGCTTTAAGGGTTTAGGGTTTAGGGGTTTAAGGGTTTTAGGGTTTGGGAGCTTAGGAGTTTATAAAAGCTGCACACAAGAACAACCACAATGGCCCCAATGTAACCCTATATGCTTTCGTACTTTCCATTTTCTTTTCCATTATCCCAATATAACCCCAAGATAACCCTAATACTACTTACCCCTAAACCCAAAAACACCTTCAGCACCTCGCATGTCGCGCGGCAAGAAGGAAGTTCCTGCCGTGGGAAGCAACAGACCCCCTAAAGCGGCTCTAGGTTGGGGTCAAGGGACTAGGGGCTCAAGATGCAGATTCAAGTTCCCAGCGTTGGGTCTGGGCCTTGGGGCATTGAGTCTAAAGTTTCGGGCTTAAATTGGGGCCTCAAGGAGTGCCGTTTTTTGGACATCCCAAACTAGTGCCTGTGGCCTGCCTACCCCAGGAATTTATGGAGATCATCTGGGTCCCTATGTATGTGCTTTTGAGCAATCCAAGTTTCTACCCCCCAAACCAACAATTGAACACAAAAATACCCAGTCTAACCCTGCTGAACCTTAAATCTCAAAAACCCGAACTTATATACACCAAATCTTGAACTCTAAACCTTAAGTCTCATACACCCAAACTGCCTAGGTCGCTGCCTCCTTTCGGTGGAAGCCCGTTCGCCTCGCTTTCCGTGACCTCCAGGGTGCTGCAAGGAACTTAAACTAACTTACCAGTACTATGGGTAATTAGGGTTTAGGGTTCGGGGTTTGGGGTTTAGGATTTAGGTTTGGGGTTTGGGCTTAGGGTTACCATAATATGGGTATAGAATTATGAAATAGGGTCTCCTTCGGTTCCTTAATTGTACCTTAGATTATGGGCTTCCTGCCTAACGGTTTGCGGCTTAGGATGTTTGGCTTAAGGTTCGTAAGGTTTAGGGTGTAGAATGTAAGGCTTAGAGTTTTTTAGGTTCAGGGTTTTGGGTTGGGAGCTTACAAGAATTTGAAATTCAGAGCATCTGTCTGCAGGAACACCTATCAGGACCCCTTTTGAAACTGGATTCGCCTGAAGTAGGGGTCCCACAAGTATAGATTTTAATTTGCTTTCCCACAAGCTAGATGCTCCTAAACCCTACACCCTGAAGCGTGTGGAGGCAATCTTCCGCCTCGCCCTTGGAACCGCGATGGTTACCCTGCCGCCAGCGGAGGTAGCCATCTCGCCACTCCAGGTACCTGAAGACAGCTTAGATTCTAGGGTTTACCGAAATTGTATAGGGTTTGGGTCCCAAAAAGGTTTGTTGAAAGTTCTGACCAACAGTTCTTGTGGTTAAACCAGTTTGGTGCCTTGGCTTTTCAGACCATTCCTAGGCTGGTGTTGGAGCTTTCCCAGACCATTTCTGGGTGCTCTCGACCTATTTGAGTTTTGACTTGAGTTTTGACCAAAAGTTTTTGGTTTTAAGTCCGCCGACCTTGGGGGGCGTGTTGGATGGTTGCCGAAGGCGGAGAGGGTGAAAACCCTCTTCCTTTCTCCCTTGGCCCCAAAACGCGGGGGGGTGGGGGGGGGGGGGTAGGGGGGTATCCCGGCTTCGTTTC